GGGGGGGGCAGTGGGCGGAAGAAAGCGGCTGCGGCCGGCGGCGGGCAGCGAGGAGGCGGTTATGAGGGTGGACAGCGTCGGGCAGAGAGAAGACGGATATAGGAGTGCAAGGCAAATGGGAACTGTTGGGCAGAAAGGTGAAAAGGGTAGAGACAAAGACGATGTCGGGCGAAGAGATGAAGGCTAAAAGGGTGTAGGCAATGAACAACATCGGTGGACGGTGAAAAGAGACGGTGGTAATGATTCAAGCACGAGGTTATGACGGAAGTATGGTAGGTTTGACCCAGTGAACACAAAGGTGATACGTAGAAATAGTGTACGCTCGACCTCATAAATTGAAGTCGCTACGCTTGGGATGATTTATACCTGCTAAGACGTGGGGTTACTAATGGCAGAGTCCTTAATAAATAATTAATGATTTCAAGTGATGATACAGAGAGCGTTGTTTTGCAAAACATATTTTCTAGACAACTTACACGCATTACTAGGTAAATAATGAGTGTACAAAATAAAAGGAATGAAGTTATGGAAATTAAGGGAATGGCGGGATAATACCTAGACCACTAAACATGGAAGTGCCGTGAAAAATGAGTTTCCTTAATTACAGTAAGAATTAAACGAGAGGAGTATTTCAACCCTTAGTACCAATACACGAACGGTGATTTCTTCAGATCCAAACACATTCAAAAGTGTCATTGGTTTCAGTCACCGAAAATACTTGCGCATTCTGGAAGTGCAAATTTTCTTGACAGTTCCAAGACATTTTTTTACTATGATACCAGTGCCTAAGCCTTGTGCTCATACTTGAAACGGTGAATAGTTTCGTGGAGGTTATAAAGATATGACATGAATTGTGGACTGAAAGGAAAACAAGAAAACCGGCCACAAACCAATTTTGTTCGCCAAAAAAATTTCACAAGCATCGCCCTGAATCCAGAGATGGCAGAGCACTAACCCTACGGGCCGGTCCGCTGGTTCCGGGTAGGAGTGGTTAGGTTAGAGCGAATTGCGCTGTAGGTGGAACTGCAGGTGCAAAGGGCGTTGCCTGCGGGGATAAGAGACTGCGTGCGTTTCCGCGAGAGGGCTCTGATGGGCAGGAAGGTGTCGGTGGGCGGCGAGGAGGTTACGTCGCGGGCAGCCCCCGCACGCGAACTGACGGCTCAGATACGCGATAGGGCGCCGCGCCGCGCCGGCCGGATGGACAGCGAAGTGGCCGGCCGGATAATGCGTTCTGCTCATTTGGAGAGACGTTTCGACACAGCGCAGATCACTGGTGGGTTGAGACCGACGGGGCCGTGGAGCTATTTTGAAAGTGTGTTTATATTCTTAGTAAACATAAAGAAAACAAAAAAGAGAAAATAAAACGACGAGACGGTAACGGAGCTCATTTATAATTTGTCTGTTTATATCACAAAGGCAACGGTTTATACATTTTTGTTACGGAAAAAAATATGCAGTGCATTTTAAATATTCTAGCAATTTTAATATGCAGCCAACATCTTTGGATACTCTCGCATCCTGAAAACATTACAGATCTGAAGAATGTTAGGAAATTGCTTAATAACAACACTTACTGGAACATCCCGACCCGTGCTCGGGCTAACGGTACATTATCGCATTAGGAATACGCACAGAAACCGGCTCATTGCAGTGTCATTACCACTGTTCAGACAAGGAAGTGGCGCGACGAACAACAACGCGACAAGAAAGGGGCGTCGATTATGTAAAGTTTGGAAAACCACAATCCGAGTCGTTGGCCGAGTGGGCGCCGGTGGGCGTCCGGGGGTGAACTCCGCGTATGTGGCGCGGGCTGCGGCAGCGATCAGAGGATGTGGTTGCGACATGAAATACCTCACAGACGCCACCGCCGCCGCAGACAGAAAAACTCGTGGAAAGAACCGTCGGTGATTAAACGTCATGTAACCACGCGGTTGTCGAACTGCGTTCGATTTAACGTGTGGGCGTTCGAGGGAGGTCGGCAGTCGAAAATTGCACCGCGGGGGAAGACGAAGAAGAAGAGGTACAAGGTAAGGAAAAAAAGCTGCACGTCCCGCGGGTGGCAAGCTGGGTCTCTTTCGATAAGGGATTAAACGAGTGGGGCAGGGCCGCGCGACGGAAGATCTGCAGACGTGTGGTAGCCACGGGAGCTCCAGCAAAAAGAAACCGTCTCTTTCGAGAGAAGTAACGCTTGGCCCTCGGGCGTGTTCGCGGTTGACGTGGTTCTGTCTACTCGTAAGCCTCTCCTGGCAAAGGTGGGAAGAGGAAAAAAGGCGCCCAGTATTTAGGGTGTTGGTCCGATAAAGCAGGCGTGGGTATCACAAGCGGAAGACACTCACATGAGGACAGGATCATTAAACAGAAGTGAGTAAACTGCACAGATACGACTGTCTTGAAACCGGATAAGAATGTGTACTGCAATGTTTTGTCTTGATTTTTTCAAACTAGAAAACTGATACACTGCACGGACTTTCAAGTCGCCATATAAAGATGGATGTGCTGACGCGACTCGGGAAAGTACTGCGAGTGACTCACCGGAAATGAAAAAAAGAAATATTGGAGAAAACTCTCAAAGAGTAATGCGTGAGTCATAGAGGAAGCTGGTGGTTTGATCTAACGAGAAAAAGTACATCTTGGTGCTTATCGTAATGTAAGGCTATGAGGAAGAATCTATGCACAACAAGAAAGTAGATAAACGCTATTAGCTTAAGTTCTTAAAAATAAAACGGTCGATCGGAAAATAAACCAAAATTTATTGGACATAATCCCAGGGAGAAGATTATGTTCATGAGCAAGAAAAACAAGTAAATGAATAAGAAGAGATGAATAAAAGAATGAATAAACCAAAAAGAATATATGGAAAAAAAATAAGGATAAAAATAAATATCACATATAAAAAGCCAACATAACATGGAAGGAAAAATAAAATACTGAGAAGCAAAGAAGGCGACTATCAGTCTGAGAGTCAACTTTTTAACATATACACACTTCAATATTTCATGTAATCATAATTATTTATGGAACCACGCCGTTACTGTTTCTTGAATTACCCCACTCATAACCCTTCTCGCGTCGCATATTACGAATTTCAACTGTCACCATGCTTGAGATTTCAAAGAATTTTGAAACTTAGAATTAATTATTCAAACGTTAAACTATCTTAGATGTCACCGACAGAGACACTGTACAAAAGGCTAAAGACAGGCAAAGAAATCTCAACCATTTAACGGGAATATCAAACATTTTGAGACAAATGATATATGCAGTATACTAACGCGCCTACACTAGGTTTATAAAGCACACAATACTGTTAAACATTTTTCGGGAGAGCAAAAAACTTGTTAATTTTTTGGTTCATCAGGTTTACTCCCTTCTGTGTCCTATCATATTAGCTGTAGATCTAGGACAATTTGCCACCAGGTGGAGATCACAAATGGGGAACAAAAATTCAGAAGGTGACATGTTCATTTGAGACAAATTGAGTTCTGTTGTTTTTATCTAGAATTGTATTTCCAGAAAGAACGTTAGATGTCTTACAGCACAAGAAGTAGAACTCTATTAGTTGAGTTAAAGACGGCGTAGAAAAAATAAAAATGTGTTATATTTTTCATCATTATTTGAAAAGAGTGAAGTGGATATGTCACGTTTTGAATGTTTGCTCCACAAATACCCTCATTAATTCCCAATGGAAAAAAAACATATACAAGTTCTCTCGCACTTTCAGTGTAAAAAAAATGTTCGTTTTTCATCCCAGACAATTCGGGAGTGAATGGGTTAAGCGTTGCAGTACTCACAGTTTGGGGATCTGGATCTTGTCGTCGTTCTGGCGTCCGAAGTCGTGCCAGGGCCGCGAGCGCCCGCCGCCGGGGGTGGTGGGGGTGGTGGAGCCGGGGGGCGGGGCCGCGCCGCGCGCCGCCATGGGGTCCGCCATCAGCGCCCCCGACTGGCACAGCTCCGCGTAGTCGAACTGCTGCGGGCACACACAACAACCACCGTCAGGTCACTATGCGCCCACTCCTTAACTACTATTGCTACGATGGCTTCAAAGCATACGGCTGCTTGAGAAGGAAATTAAGACATGTTCAGTAATGCACATTTAAAACGCTCGGTCGTAAAAGATGACAGCCGTCATAATTCTAATTTTTGTGAAACTATAATTCTTGTCTCTTGCTACCTGCGGTACTAATAATAACAGTTTTGATTACTTGGTTCGTAATTATTTTCATCGTAAGAGTATATCAATTGGCTAATTATTACGAAACATCATGTGTAAAAAAATTAACAACTTAAAGATCAACATTTAATTTTCTTTTCAAACAAAGTGTAGAAACATATTCGTTTTCTAGAATTATTTTATTTTATAAATGAAAAAGAGTTTATTTTTACGTTTCGAATGTTAAATAGACAAACATGTCTTCCAATATAAATACACTCACCATTTGAAGTTGGTAACAATGTTTTTCAGAACATGAAAAATCAGCGTGTTTTTGACTAGCTACCTGTGAATAGTCGTTCATTGAGAAATGGCCCGAACCAAGAAGCATGCAAGTTACTATCACTTTAGTGGCACTTTCTCTTTTTTACAACCATCGCAGTGGAATATGTTTTAAGGAGATATATAACCCCAAAACTGTTCTAGTTTGTCACGAAACTTCTTTTGCCCGCGTAAAAAATATTATCAATAGATTAACAAGCAATACATTTAAGTGTATGGCATAACATAATCAACACATTTGAATGTGAATAATTAGAGTAATAGGTACCAAAACGATATTATTTTTTTAAATTCTAAATAGCTGGCTTATTAGATTCCGCTTTAATCGAAAAAATGGTGTAAAACAGACGTGTAATTTTTTTAGCGCTTACAGTATAAATATCAGGACTTGTCAGGTTATCAAACATTCAGAAACTCAACAAAAATGCTGGCAATTCTTTGGAAAAGGCACTAGGCTGCATCGGCGTGTCGGATCTCGTAAAAAAGGAACCGTCCGCCGGTGCCCGAACACAAAATGAAAGGGGCGTAGCCTCTCACGACCGCAGACACGAGACACAAAACGATGCGACAAACGCACCTCTCTCGCCGGCGCGTCCCGTTAGTACCATCCGCCTCCGCACCCCAGCGAGCGCGCCCCGCGCGGAGTCGCGAAGCGCGGGCCGCCCATCCCTGCTATTACAGGCGATTTGAAGTAATCGCCACGCACGGGCGAGTGCAGGAAGCTGGCGCTCGGGGGGGAGGGGCGGGGAAATTATCGAGGCATCAAGGAAGGCGCCGGCCCACCACCAGCGCCGGGAACCGCGGTGGTCGTGCGGGGAACTGGCGATACATAGAGGAGATTCGGCTTCCGTGCCTCTCCACTGCACAACATAGTCCTAAACCGCGAGAAATGAAAACAGAATTTCTAGAATCTGGAATCTCTGGTCTAAAAACTCCTAGTCTAGAATTTTAAAGTTACCGGTGTTCTTGTCTATCACGGTCTTGAAGCGTATTTTGTATGAAATATTTTTCCATTTCCATTATCGTTTTCGTGTTTTTAATATAAGTATTATTAAGGAAAATTGAATTGTAAAACATTTTTTTGAAATTTTCATTTAAATATTTAAGTACAAGTAATTCGAAGTAACAAAACAACACACGTATGGCCTCTAGAATGTAAATGAGACAGTCACTGTTGAATGTTGACTTGTTGAATACTATTTGTAGAATTACCAAGGAAAGTAAAGTAAGTATCATTTTCAGTTTTAGATTTCACCATAATTATTTTATATACAGAGGTCGTTTTATTTAAAGAAAGTGTTTTCAGTAAATTAGATGACAGTTTCAGAATGACGTAACGGCCAGACTACATCAACTTATTTTCTGTATTCCAAGATGACCTTATCATCCACTTCTCAATCCAGTTTAAAGGTTTCTTTATGAACTGGCTCGGTGTGGTTTTGGAAGAAGTGAAATCTCAGAGGTTCCGCCCCGTTTGATTGCGACCTCCGCCACTGTGCGCCCGCGGAATCCTCTCCCGCCTCCGCCCGAGGCCTCATAACATTTCCCCGCTCGGGGTCAAGTTCGCCGGCCTCCCCATTAGACGCCTCGCCGGCTATTCATCCAGCCGCCGTAATAAGCGAGATCGGTGTGCGCTATGCTGCTGCCGGAACACAATGGCGCGCCCCGCTTTACGACGAGGCGGCCGCCGCCTCCTCCTCCTCCTCCCCCTCGGACTCCAGCGCCGCTACCGCCTCCGCCAACACGTTCACCGCCGCTCCGCCGCCGTCCTTGCTTCGGGCCTAGCCTCCGCCCCCTTCGCCGCTACCCGTCCCTCCTCCAACAGGCCACCCTCGTCGGCGTCCTCGCTTCAGCCCCCGTCGTTCGCCGCCGCCTCTGCCCTAATGCACCTAATGCCCTCCCGCCTCCGCCCCGATCTCGCCACTCACACCCACGCCACCTCCCCTTCACTGCCTCCCATGCTTCTGCCCCCACCAACAGGCACATCGCAATCCTCACCAGTGTCCTCCCTTCGACTCTCGCCGCCGCCGCTGCTCTAATACTTGCCGCTCCCGCATCCGTTCCGTCTTTCTTGCATCCACTGGCGCGGCCTCTTGCTGTTGGAGCTGTTGAGATAGCTTTGCACCCGCTGCCTTCTTGTTGCCTTGTGTTGCCTACTGACCCCGCCTCCTTGCAATACAATTCCCACGACAGCCGTCTCTGGTGTCACTACATTTGTCATCTCCGTCGCCGGCTCTGTCTGTTCACTGCCTTCCACAACGATGCATATTCTACAAACTTAGGATTCCGAAGTGATGTTAAACTAACTTTGCTGTAACTCTGCCAACTATTTCAGAGTTACGACATGCTATCTAGTCTTCTTTCCATCAGTATTCTTTATATCTTCCTTTCTCATCGTCACAATCATTTTGTGACAACCTTGACACCCCTTGACCCACACTGTGACAACCCTTGACCCATCTCTTACGTTGTTCTCTCTACCATACAACCACTTCCCTTGGAAACTTCTTCCTACTTTTCCACTACGATCTCAACCCTGTTGTAAGTCCTTTGGCTTTTCTCGTGCCACAATCCACGCCACAAAAGAGGCTTTACTCTGTGTACGTTGCCAGTTTTGCAGACCCTCATTCTTCCCTACCCCTACTCCTGGTACCGCCGCCATTCCCGGTGTACTCTGTACCACGCCATCGCTTTACCTCATCTCCCACCAAATCTACATCAACTACTCCACTTCATCCCAGTCACCTCATCCCCTCACTCCGGGACCTTCCATCCTGCCTTTCGCGGCGCCGTTTCATTCCTCATGTGCACCGGACACCAATTAGCCCTATCTGGGGGCTCCGAGGCAGGTGGGCGGGCGGCCGGGCGGGGAGCGCGTGAGTTATAGGTCTTACGCTCCGCCCCCGCCCGCAGCCGCCGCCGCCGTCGCCGCCACACGCTCACCTTCATGACGCAACGCACGCCGCACGCCGCAAAGATCCACGCGTCTTTGTGGTGCTTTGTAAAAAGTTCGTTCGAAAGCTTCTCGGTGAGATGCGGGCTATGAAGCAACTAATATTTATATGCACCTCTTGATTCGATTTAAAAATTCCCATCGCCTACGAGATTATGTAATTATCAGGGGAGATTGGGGGAGCACATTGATAGGTGATTATCGAAAAGGAAATCAGTGATCCAGAGGCGATATGAGGATTTATAGTGTTCTGTAAGACTGAACGTGTTTACTGTAAGAACCTCGTTCAACCGCCGTGTCCTTAATTGCAGAACAATTAGATTCTTGATATGCAAAGCGACAGTGAATAGATATTGCAGTCATACATTAATTTCTCTGAGAAGAAGTTATATGAAGTGAACATTACTCTTCACGCCCTAATCACCACTCCCTGTTATAAGAACGACGCGTTTCCAATGTCGTTACATGTTCAGTAAACATAGTCTTCACGGAAGTTTTGCGTCAACTTGCCACGTCTTGTCCGTGACCAAGAACGTACTACTCTGCTCGACCTGCACGACATAGACGCAGGTCAACCTCGCTTGCACGACAGGGAGTGGGGGGGGCAGCCGCGTGTCGGCCACGGAGGTGGAGGTTGCAACAGAGCTACCGTTTTTGTTTCGCAACTCTCGCTGTCCTGCGTCAGGTGGCAACTGAGCACTGGCCGAGGAACGTCGAGTTCGCGAAGAGTTCAAACCAATCCATGAGCGCTGAGAAGCGAGTACGTGTTATTTCCAGGAAGAGAAAAAGAGACCACGACCCTCTGGTTGCAAAATACCATTTACACCTGGTCAGACGTACTCTACCACTTCTGGTCGGAAATAACGAACTCGATGGTTTTTGCAATGCACACTCCGTTGACTGAAGTCTGCAAAGACTACAGCACTAAATATTCATAAGTGATAAGGTCGTCGTTTGCAAAGCAGGGATGCAGTGTATATAGTGAAAAAAGAACAACAAAACGAGGCATTTCCGTCTAATCCCTGAGAGGATAAAGTTTATTTAGTAGGTGCACTGCTTACATAGCAAGTTGTAATATAAATTGTAATATTTTGACATATCTTATGAATATTTTTGAATTGCAAAAGCGATGCAGATACCTTTTCATAAACTAGCGGTGCAGAAACGATACAAAACGCGAAACGGTGCACGGTCTGCTACAACAAGCAACGGAAGGGTCCCTGCTTACAATGGGGAGGGGCCGGGGCGCGAGGTACCTGCGAAAGCGTGGGGGTCAATCAAGGCCTTTTGTGCGTACGTCGCGAGGCCGCGAGAGCGAGCGAGGGCGCGGCGGCACCGAGGGCGGTGTTGAGGGCGGTGGCGGAGAGGGGCGCGGTCGTAGTTGCCATTTCCCAAGCCCCCGCACCAGCCAAACAAAAGCACGGGAGGTCGGCGGGGTCGCGACCCGCTACGCGATGACCTCAAGGTCGCCGAAGGATGACCTCGGCGGAGGGTCACCCGCCGAGCAGCGGATTTGCCAACG